AATAAAATAAGCTACAAATTAATCACCTAAATCACCTCTAAGAATTTGAAAAGATAAAAGTAAAACAGAACTTAATCACATAATACGATTCAAAAAAATTTGTAAAGTATCAGGCAAAAAAATGAAACGAGAAAGAAATTACTTGAACACAATTTAAAAAAAAATAGATAAAATAAAAATTAAAGAGAAGAATGAAGGAAAACGATGGAAAATGAAATTAAAATACAAATAGTGGAATTCTGGAAATAAAAGTAATAGAAAATAACATAGAAAATGAAATAAAAACCGAATAATAGAAAATGAAAATAAAAATAGAAAAACAAAGCAAATAACAGAAAATATCAGAATATTAGAAGCATAGCATAAAATAGAAATAAAAGGTGGGTGCTCGGTGATGGTGAAGAAGAGGAACCCAGGAAGCTTGGATAGAGAAGAAGAGAGAAAAAAAAAAAAGAAGAGAAACAATTGTGAGTCGATGGCTGGTCGCATTCGAACGCGAACTTGAGGGTTTTGAGCAGGAAACGGCATCCAAGAAGAGGAACAATTGGAGTACCAGGTGGAGATGACCAGTGTTTGGTTGCAGTGCAGCTGGCACCCTGTTAAAACTTAAAAGAGAAAAATACTCTGGTGACGTCATTGAAAAAAACTAGCTATGCGTCATCATGCAACGCCATATTTGTACTAACATTAATTCAAAATCCAATTTTCTCTCATTTCACAGTCACATCCCATCTGTGTTGGAAATATTTTCCATATCAAAGATGTTTCGGATGTATGGTCATAAAACGGTATGGGATTCACATCTGCGCAACATAATGATCCACATCACATCTCGACCTTGTATTGTCGATAATAATACAGAAGATGACATCACTTGTGACAGGGGCAGTGTAAATTCTTTTTCATGGCCAGCTGTCAAGTTTACGGCAATGAAAAAAGATCACATGACCTCTGTTGGGCGCTGATGTGAAGTCCAATGAAAGATGAAAATGAGACCCACCATGTGAATTAAACCATGCCGGGACATCAGGACATGGGTGACAACACATTTCAACCGGAGACCCTCCGGTGACTTTTTAACACGCCGGTGTTCGGAGAAAAAGAATCGGCGTCGGATTAAAGTATTGACGTGTTCAAAACTCATTAGACGGCCTCAGACTTGTCAACATGGATCATGGTGAAACGGTTTTTTGTTGGAGGAGATCATTACCCCTTTACCCCTCTGGTTAGAAAAACAGCGGAATGAATTGATCAAACCGGAAAGATTTGACTTGAAATGGTCCGCTCTAAAATGAATTTCGATTTGATAAAATATTAAAAACCAATGAATCAATTTGTTTGGATTATATATCATTTTAGATCGAATTAAAACGGACCATGGGGACTAGAAATATATATTTGAATATACTATTGTAAAATATAGCACAACCCCATAACCCGATGTTTGGTTCAACTCTCACTTTTTCTCTTGAATGAACACATTTTTTTTTAAAAAATATGAATTCTTTTCAAACCGACAAGTGCTCTATGTTGTTCATTTTTATTATGAAAATTGTGTTAGCAGTCATAAACCATTGGTGTGGGTCTTCAAAATCATTGGCATAGATGTTTATAAGTGAATGGCCTGTGGTCAATGCCCGTTGGCATAAGTTTCCATAGAAATCTGCCAATAAACATTTATGGTGGTGGTTTTGTAGACCTAGGCTTATGATTGGCCACTAGTATAGGGTTTCTTGGGGCATTATTATTTTTCATGTTGCAAGATACCTCAATTTTTGTGCTATAAATGGAATTTTCATTCTACAAAGAATTAAATCCATGGCAAGAATAACAATTTCTATATATGTTTCTTCATATCATCTCCATGGTATGCAAAAGGATCAATTTCTATTGTACTTCTACTAATGAGGAGGTAATGTCATAAAAGTAAAAGGGAAACCTTCAATGTCTTTGGTCCTAAAAATAACAAGAAGGCCCTATATTCTTTTTGGGGTATATTTAATTAGAGGGAGTATGTTGATCAATAGGAAATTTGACCAATTTACCCACAATGCATGTTAGTTGGAACAGTGTGGGCATGGGCTTTCCCTGATAGAAGTCGCTCTCATTATAAGAAACACTTACCCAATAAGTTGTTACTGAGTGATAAAGAATGAATGCGTCCAAGAGTCAAATTTACATATGTGACCCACAAATGTCCTACAACATATCCCAACCACGAATTGAGAACATCTCCCACTAACAAGTTTGGAAGATGTTCACCATGCACACTGATATGCATGTGGAGTGTTTATGGGATGCTGTCTAGGGCATAGATGTGATCTCCTAAGATCCCTAATTAACTAAGGTGGCATTTGGTATGTTTTGGTCCCATCCATGGTAAGGTATGGTGTTCTGCTATATGTGGATGCTCTCCACCCATAAAATAGCTTGGACAAGAATGAGTAACACCCCAATTTCTCATCCATAATATTTTTTCGTTGATGGTCCACCCTAAAGTGTAGACAATTTGGTTTTACTGTAACACACATGCATTACATTGGTCCAATTACTCTCATTTTATTTAATCTTTTAATAATTCTTAAATTTTTAATATTTTATTAATAAAATAATAAGTTTTAATGTTAATTCTAGCACAGGTCCAATAGTTCTCCTTCTCAACTCTTTTTACATTATTTAAATATTAATTTTTTAATATTTTTATCAATAAAATATTATTTTTTATTTTTTAATATTAAAATAGTATTTTTAATTATTTAAAAAAATGCAAGTGTTGTCTACATATTGATGTCTTTTTTTAATTTATTTATCATATAAAATACAAAAATTAGACATTTATAATCAAGTGTGTAGGTTGGCCCTGAATGAGGTGTTGCTAGCCGCCCTGTTGAGGTGTGCCTGAGTTGTGTATGAGGTGCTCAGATTGGTTTTGAGGTGCACCTCCTTGACTTTGTCGCATTGAGGTGTCACCCAACTGTTTTGAGATGCTACATGTCATAATTCCATTGGGAAGACCAAATTGCCCCTCATCAAAAACTATACAAAAGACGACTGAACCTAATCTACTTGGGTTGTGTTTGTTTTCAGTGTAAATAAGGATTGTTGTAAAACCTCATTCTCGTTTTGTATTTGTTAGCATTTGGATGAAGTATGGTTTTACATGTAAATTTCATTCATGGTAGAGCTTTACATCGATAATCAATATAAATACAATATTGATAAAATTAAGGTAAACATTATAAAGAAAGCCATGCTTTTCAAAGTTACAATAATTCCCTCATTTAAACCAATCGGTGTTCAACTCTATAGATGTTCTTTTACATCAATAAGTATTTACACCAAAAATAAATGCCGTGTCAAGGAAAATAATTAAAATAGATTTAGTTTCAGAGATATATACTACTTTTATAGTTGTTTCTTTGCCATCAACTTAAGCTCCATACTATTATCCAAAAATGGATTCTCATTGTGTATGTAAAAGTACCCATACACTCCATGAAACTCAAAATCTGGAGGAAATGAAATAAAAATAGAATTTCTGTTGACAAATGGACATACATATAGATCCCATCATAACATAGATTGAATCACCACTCCTCTTAATCGGTGCTTGTTGTTCTTTTGTGCTTTTGCCATTCCATGCGTTGTAGTTTTGACCAAAAACAGTTGTCATTATCAGAGCAGGATGCAACATCGTTCATCTACTTTCTTCAACCTCCCGATTATGAACCGGACCAACCTTGTCCTCCACCTCTCTCTCTTCTTCTCTTTTCCTCTCCATTCTTTTTTGTTTTCTTATTCTTCATTCTTCATTCTCCCCTGTTTAAGCCATAAAGCATCATTAGACACCAAAACCATCAGTTCGCTGTAGGGGGACAATATTGGGTTTTTGAAAAACATTAGAAAAATTTAAGGGAACATGAGTAGACATGCAATCAATACTTATCAAATAGGAGCCCAGATTTCTTATAAAAATTTCCTACCCACACTCTACAACCTCCTGTGAATTGGAACAGCACATCTCTTAATTCATAATAGAGATGTATGGCTCCAATTCATGGTGGCAAGTAGAAAGTGGGTAGGAAATCCCGAATGAACAAATAGCTCACGAAAGGGAGGTCTTTGCAATTGTCATAGGACATCATCCACGAAAGGGAGGTCTTAGTATATAGCATAAACTTGAGGAGGTAAGTCTAAGTATTTTACCCTTGAAAATATATGTTAGTAAATAAACACTATGTAGTCAAGAATCTCTCCTCACAACTGAAACTCCTGGGTTGAACCATTGCTTGAGAATGGATTAAATAGGAAACAGGAAATAAGAAGGGTCTGGTTCCAAGGGAAGAAATCAAGCCCAGAAGTAAAACAGTGAAACTGTACAGCACCAAAAATAGGCCAGCAGTCATACAGACCCACCGGATCAGCATCAAAACCACAGCCTCCATCTGGCCCAACGAGCCAAACCCACACTAGGGAGACAAGAAACAAAACAGCTCTAAAAATAAAATCTTCTAAAGGGGTATATGGGGTTTTGTGGGTATATATACTGACTTCATTTGATATTGTTTTGCAAAAATAATCTTCTATTTCATACTTTTAAATTGTCATGGCTTAAATGGAAAAAAAAGGATGGATATAAGGTGCCAAAAAGTATGCTTTGGTAAGCATGAAATACAAAGAATAGTAAAACATTACTACTATATATGCACGCACCTGCTACTGCTTAGGTACAACCCAAAGGCTAGTCTTGGTTGGAATAGTCAATTTAAAGCTTCCATTAAACGACATCCAAACTTTTTCCATATCAGGTCGCGTCTCAGGATCTTTCTGTATGCAGCACAAAGCCACAATACACAACTTCTCCACATTTTCATCCTGTTCAAGGGAAATAGTATCTCGTCCTTTATTATCATTTTTTGTTACATAATCATGTATCTCATACGGAAGCTGCCCAAATTCGACATTCATCTTAAGATGTTTTCCAAGCATTTGCAGCAACGTCATTCCATAACTATAGACATCTGACTTGTTAGTTGGGTTAACAGGTAGTTTCTCATCATTAGGGTAAAGTTCCGGAGAGGCATATCCCTGGGTTCCTTTTCCGTTTTGGTATCCTTCCTTTTGAGACTGTGCTTAGCAAAGCCAAAGTCGGAGATCTTTGGAGTGAAATCCTTATCTAGAAGAATGTTTTCAGGCTTTATGTCAAGATGAATAATCGGTTTAGGGCACTCCATGTGCAAGTAACGAAGCCCTCTAGCAACGCCAAGTGCAATTTTGTATAGTTTCTCCCAATCAAGTCCAGTGATGCAGTCGAGCAGAGTCATGGGCATATAATCGGAGACAAGGGCTACTACATCTTTCTCTGAACAATAACCTCTAAGCCTGAGGATGTTAATATGGGAAGCCGCGCTAATTCCTAAGACCTCATTCTTGAAATCTTTTTCATTACCGTCCCGCCTTTTTAATAACTTCACAGCTACCTTTGTGCCTTCAGGTAGCAATCCTTCGTATACTTCACTATACGCTCCTCCACCCAACATTTTGTCCCTCTGTATTATTTCATCCAGTTGACAATGACTGTATTCTTTTATATTATTTTTTTCCACTTGGCTTTTAAGTGGCTCACTGCTGGAGGGGTCTCTCTTATTTTTGGGGTTTTCCCTCATCTCCTTAGCTTCCTCACCGCCACCATTTAGCTTGACTTCTTTGCTATTGCTTGATTTATTCAAAATTGAATAACGTAATGGAGATATCTTCTTCTTCATCACCAGTAGGACTATGATCACAATGATAACTGACCAGGCAAAAACAAAAGAGATGTAAATATGGCATTATTATTTTGTGTGTGTGTGTACGAGAGAGAGAGAGATTCTTTGTTCTTATGAAATTTTATAAATCAACAATAAGCAAATATTTAAAAGATTTACTCAGATCGAAGAGGAGCATTAGGAAATGATGGATGTTCCTGTAAAATCAACAATAAGCAAATAGTAAGAGGTTTTTTGGTGGTTGGAGGCTTGGAGCCTCCCCAGTGGTTGAAAGATATTCTAAACTTGGATTGTTCTGTTATTTCTGTGTAACGTTAATATATTTATTCACCAAAAAAAAAACGTAAAATTCACATTCAAATTATTTTTCTATCCTCTTTGATGTTGAGACAAACAGATTTTTAAATTTTAGGTATTAAACATGTTTGAAATACTGACGGGTTGATCGCTCAGTATTCTTCGATGAAAATGAATTTTTACCAAAAGAAAAGCAGATGAAAAGGATAAATTAATGGCTGCATATAATTATAACATTACCTGCTGCACCAATCGGTATCCATACCCATAGCTTCGCCTTTCCTGAAAATATGATTATGGAAATAGAGTGACAGAGTTTTAGCTGAGCAAAATAAATTATATAAATCAAATATAGTTATGAAATTAAAAAGTCCGATCATGAAAACGGAAACCCTTGAGTACCATTCAGAACAAAAGAAATAGAAGCTTCATCTGAATGGCACTCAACTTAGGGATTTTCGTTTAGGTCTATGTATTAGAGTCCATGGCTATTGATTGTGTAAAGAAGGAAAAAAAAAGAAAAGAAAAGAAAATAATAGGAAATCCTCCTCAAACTACTGCAGATTAAAACAGAGGAAGTACTTATTATTTTTATTAAATTTGTTAAAAGAGGGGAAGAATGGAAAAGCTAAATCAGATGGGCATGTGCATGGGGATCTATATTACCTGTTCCACTGTTGGATACGTTCCCTGCGCGTATATTCCACTGAAGACTATAGCCGGTGGCCAAAAGAGTCGACAGATGTACTCTATCCGTCATGCCGGTTAATTTGGGTAATTGGCTCAGGGCATCCGTGGGGAATTGTACAGAACTGCATCCCTGTGGAAAACCATCAGGCATGGAATTGCTAGGGGGGTCGTAGTAGAAGTACAGGTCAGTGCCACTGCAAGTTTGATAACCCACAACATACGTATTAACCCACAACACTGATTGCCCCACCTATAATACGTATCTTAACAGTGAAGGAACAGCAGTAAACATGGAGAAGGGAAGGCAGAGGGAGAGGGAGAGAGAAGAGAGAAGGTAGAAGAGAAGAAAGAAAGAAGATTACATTAATATTAGGGAAAATTTCTGATCAGTACAGTTGGCTCTCGAGAAATAATTTGGTCCCGCGATCCAGTATTGCATGTGAAAAAGACAAAAATGCCCTTCAATATCTTTTAATTTTCTTTATCAACCTATCCGCTAAAACCAAAACCAACCCTTCGAAGATCATATTCACACTATCACAGAGAACCTTGGGAAGGTCAGAACGTCTTCCTGTCCGTATACAGAACAAAGATTGTTGGCCAGTGCCATCTGAAGGACAGAACGGGGAAAACCAGTACAGCTGCAAAGTTGAGCTCAAACCATGGTACTTTTGGAGGAAGCAAGGTTCCTAGCGATTTATGGTGGAAGGTAAAACCGTCGACATCTCTGTAACAGAATTTGGAGAGAGAAATAATTCTCTTTATTGATTTGAAAAGGATTACAAAAAAGTTTATATACATCAAAATGAAGAAGCCAAAAAGAAAAGGAAAACTAACTAACAAACTTGTAACTAATCTTGACTAAGAGTAACTAACTTCAAAACTATAAAGTACAAGTTTAGTCTCTAATAGCCCCCCTCAAGCTGGAGCATACAAATTTTGAATGCCCAGCTTGCAAATTGAACTATTAAATGAGTGAGGTGGCAAGGGCTTAGTGAAACAGTCAGTTAATTGGTCTTCAAAAGCTATTGGCATCAGGTGAATCAAACCAATTTGCAATTTTTCCCTTACAATGTGGCAATCTATGTCAATATGTTTTGTACGCTCATGAAAGACTGGATTACAAGAACTGATTGATTGTCACAAAAAACAAGAGCAGGATCAACTTGAGGAATCTACAAATCTTTTAATAGATAAGTAAGCCATTGAACTTCACATGTAACAACAGCAAGGGCACGATACTCAGCTCCAGAGGAAGATTTGGAAACAGTCTGTTGCTTATTGGATTTCCAAGATATTAGACTATCTCCCAAAAAAACACAATGGCCAGTGACAGATCTCCTGGTATCAGGGCATGAAGCCCAATCTAAATCTGGGAAGGCTTTCAACTATAAAGATGATGAAGCAGAGAAGAACACACTTTGGCCAGGACTAGCTTTTAAGTATCGAAGAATTCTATGTACAACTTGCATATGAAAATCTGTAGGACAGTCCAAAAACTGAGAAAGATGTTGGATAGCAAAACAAATGTCTAGCCTTGTGTTACATATATAAATTAATTTGCCAACCAATTTTCTGTAGGAAGTAACATCTGTTAAAGGAGTACCAGCATCTTTATCAAGTCTTTGAGAAGTAATCATAGGAGTAGACACTAGCTTGCTATTTATAAAACCTATTTCCTCCAAGAGATCAATCACATACTTCCTTTGCTTGAGATTAATGTCAGTCGTGGATCTGGCAACTTCTAAGCCAAGAAAAAACTTGAGTTGGCCAAGATCTTTAATTTTAAAAGCATCATGTAAGAACTTTTTGACCTCATTTATCAAATCAATGTTGTCACTTGCTAAAATGACATCATCAACATAAATTAGCAAGGCTATAAAATGAGAACCAGCTTGTTTTGTGAACAGAGAAGAATCAAAAATTGCCTGAATGAATCCTTGAGACAACAAGGCATCAGTGAGCTTTTGATTCCATTGTCTACTTGCCTGCTTGAGACCATAGAGTGATTTAGTTAATCTGCACACTTTTGAAGGATCAGAAGTTTCAAAACCTGGGGAAGAGTCATGTAAACTTCTTCATGCAAGTCACCATGTAAAAAGGCATTGTTAATATCTAGTTGATGCAAATGCCAATCTTTAATAGCTGTAACAACATGTAAAGATCTAATTGTTGTTATTTTTGCAACTGGAGAAAAAGTATCAAGATAATCAATGCCATTCTATTGAGTATATCTATTGGCACTAATCTTGCCTTATATCTTTCAATGTTGCCATTTACATGATACTTGGTTCTAAAAACCCATTTGCACCCTATAGGTCGTTTTCATGCAGGTAAATCAGTTAAAACCCAAGTATTATTTTGCTCTAATGCTTTGATCTCAAGTGCCATTGCATCCTTCCAGCATTGTGATTTTATAGCCTCATTATAGGTTCTAGGATCTTTGGTTTGGGAGATTTGAGTRGCAAAGAYCCTATGAAAAGAMGATAATTTGTGAGTGGAATAGGTAGAAGATATGGGGTGAGGATTGGAGGTTTTGAAAATAGAATTGGCTTTGAGGTTTGGTATTTGACAATGATATTGATCAAGATATGAAGGAAGTGTATGAGGTCTGGATGATCTTCTAGGTTGAGTTTCAAAATGTGTACTTTGTATGGGGTCTGGTGAAATATTAATAAAAAGGGGTGAATCAACAGTGGTATTATCAGAAGTGGTAAGTGGTGGTAATTGATTAGTGACAGGTAAAGTTGTGATGTGAGGAAGATTAGAAGGTGAAGATGTAAAAGAAGGTGGAGAGGGTTTTGCTAAAGGAACTGCATATTTTGTGGGAAGAACAAAGTCTGAATTATCTTATTGAAAAAGAATTAGAATGAAAAGGAAACGAGTGTTCATAGAAATGAACATCTCTTGAGACCATAACCTTTTTGGTTCTGAAATTATACAAACGAAAACCTTTAGTAGCAGAAGGATAGCCAAGAAATACACAAGGATCAGCTCTAATATCAAACTTAGTTCTATCTGTATCAAGTGTAGAAGCAAAGCAAAGGCATCCAAAAACTTTCAAATAATTAAATGAATGAGCAATATTATAAAGAAGCTAAAATGGAGTTTTGTTTGAAATGATTGGGGAATGAGTTCAATCGAGGATTAGATTGTCTGATGGGGAATGAAAACTTTCTTTGTTTGGCATAATGACATATAGAACAATAATTTGAAGATGGTAGTGTTATAGAATGATCCAATGCTCTCAAAAGTTTCAATCGAGGATTAGACAAATGCCCCATTCCAAAATGCCATATATTAGTGGCAGTAGGCTTATTACAAAAAAGAACAGAAACAGAACTACAAGTGATGGTAGGATTACAAGTAATAGACGAATTACAAGAAACAGAAGGTAGGACAAGCTTGTAGAGGCCATTGACCTTTTTAGCTAATCCAATCATCTTCCAGTGTTGATGATCCTGGAGGATACAAAGATTGTGTTGAAAAATGAGACAATAAGGATATGAATCAATAAGCTTGCTAGTAGATATAAGATTGAAAGAAAAATGAGGTATATAAAGAACATTATGAAGTACAAAATTGGAAGAGAATATAACAGTTCCTATGTAAGAAATAGAAACCTTTTGATTATTGGGTAAAATGACATGTGTATTTGTGACAGGTGTATATGTTGAAAAATTGGATAAGCTATTGGTTATATGATCAGTTGCACCACTATCAAGAATCCAGTGTGTTTGATGAGACTTATTATCATCAATGGTGCATGAAAGAATGAATTTACCTGATTCATTAGCAATTGGAGCAAAGGTTGATGTTAACTGATTGACCTGAGGTGTGGAGAAAGGTGCTGATGCAGAATCAGGAGCAAAGTTGACTTGCTGAAGTAGACTCATGAGCTGATTGTATTGATCCTGAGTAATGGGAGAAGTGGCCACATTATTGGCTGAAGTGAATCCATTATGAACACTAGAAGCAGAATTAGGAATTGAAGAATCTGGAACATCTGT